GCACTGGAGAGCAACCTTTGGTGTTAAATTTATTCGGCTGGAAGATAGGAGCATCTTTTTTATATATATATATATATATATATATATATATATATATATATATATATATCTTTTTATACATATACTTATTATATTTATATAATTTTGTTTATTTCTGTTTGTAAATTGTTTACATATTAAATTTTTGTTTTAAATCGATACCTATCTTCCATTGTTGCTGCTTAAAGAAGGCTGGTAGCCTCCTTAAAGGCATAGATACCTACATACTGAGAGCCAGGTATAGGGCTCCTTATCAGGTGAGAAGCCAATATTTTATATTTATTCTTCATTATTGGGACTCATTGCACTAAGATTTCTCTTCTCCCCTGTGTTCCTCTTTTCATACAAAGGATCTATTGACGGGTAGAGAATCGATTTGGGTTTGGTGTCGCCAGAAGTACACATCTGCTGTTGTGATCTGAGCCTATCCGAGAGGGCTCAGTCATGTGAGTTAGTCTATATATAACATTCAATCACTGTGCTTGTCTCATTACGTTACTTGCACCATCTTTTTGTATTTATATTTGTTTTAGATACGCTGTCTCTGAAGTTTTCATATACATTTGTATATATACCCATATGGGTGAGTTTATTTCTATTATAATTTGAGCGCTCCACTTGTACACCAGGGGTGGTTTTCTGCCAATTCCTCACTGAGTGTTCACTTGATTTTTTTTATGCTTATGTATAGGGTGGAGAGTCCCTATTTATAGTGGTAGCTGCTATTCATATTTATTGTACATTATAATAAGCGCCTTGTCAACACACTATTCCTTTGTATTTTTGGTGTTAAATTGTTTGAGAATGGTCTAACTCCTCCAGTTGAGAAAATGCCAGGAAAGTGGTTATGGTTACCATACAGTTCCTTTAAACCCCTGATTCTCTAGAACCAGTAAAGATGTTGACTGAACATTTTTTTTTGTAGGGGGTAGACAAGGTTGTAAAGGACCCCAAAACATTTAATTCACCATATATTAACCCCTTAAGGACACATGACATGTGTGACATGTCATGATTCCCTTTTATTCCAGAAGTTTGGTCCTTAAGGGGTTAAAGGAACACTCCAGTGTTAGGAATACAATTTTCCTAATATGTATAGAGAGTGCCCCTCTATCTCAGACACTTCCCCAGTCATGAAAAAAAACAAAACCTTTGTTTCACTTACCTGATTCCAGTGAAGATCTGCCTCCTTCTCCCGTGACATCACGGTGATGGGGATATATAATGCACGTGTGTGGCGAGTGCCGTGGGCCCTTAATAACCTCCCCATAGGAAAGCACTGAATCAATGATTTCCTAAGGAATTTTGAAGACGCTAGACATCATCATGCAAAGCGTGAGGATCTCCAGCATCAATTCATGGAGGTAAACTATGTGAAACTGCAGGACGCACCTCTAGTGGCTTTGTGGTAGACAGCCACTAGAAGCAGTCTTAACCCTGCAATTTAAGCATTGCAGTTTCTCTAAAACAGTAATGTTTTACATTGCAGGGATAAGTGGTCAGGGTCACTGCAGATCACTTCAATGAGCTGAAGTTAAAAGTTATATCAGAGAGCTTATATATGTATATGTCCACTGTTAGACACATTGCCTATATATGTAGATAGTTTAATACTGTGGCTATTCTTCTTAAAAGTGGCAGTGCATCCATTATTACTGTAGGGGCATACCTCACAATTCTCAATTAGGTAAAAAAAAACAAAAAAAAAACAACCCTGGACCCGAAAAATTATTGGATTTGGTTAACACAAGTATACTCTACGTAGGTATGCTGATTGGCACAGAGGTGTTGATTGCTACACATATGCAGCAGGCCTCATTGTGTTCCTCTATGGAAAAATATTGGTGAGGATCATGATTGGATAATTTCAGGTGATATATGCCAGGGGAGGAGTATCGACTGCAGCAAGATCAGCCCAGCATGTGTAGAAGGTAAGTTAAACTTCTTTATTTAACTCTTAAGGGGGGGACTACATCTTAAAACCTAAGAAATACCATTAATGTTAGAAATACATGCTTTTATTTCTAACACTAGAGTTCTGCTTTAACAGCTGATATCCGTGACCTGTGGGGCTTTAGACCTTAATCATATACACTTTTGTTACTGAGAGATAGTTAAACACATAATCCCAAAAATCCAACAGGGTGATATGGCAAACAAAATCCCTACCAGGTGAAGAGAGCAATATGGGGTATGTCCAGAGGGGAACATTTATATGTGCAGATAAAAAGGTCAATAAAGATTAAAGCAGGGCTCAAAATGTTCACTCTTATTGATAGAAAATTTAGCCCTGACTAGTATAGAATCTATCTTTGAGGGTATACTATGGCTTTCAGTGGTGACCAACTGTTAAGGCTTGGCCAGTGGTATAGGACTACAAATTCTAAGCCCAGATAAAGGACGCCTAACCTTTCCTACAAATTAGCAAGGATGTTTAAACATTTACATATTATATTATGTAAAAACCTTAGAACAAAACAAAAAAAAATTATAATTAGATACTGAAAGTTATCTTTCTTCAATCTGATCCTCTTCCCTTCCTCACTCCGGATCCATTCTTCTTTTATTTTGGTTTTGGTATTTTCCTCCTAAAGTAAATAAGGCAAAGTACTTTGTCTTTTTTTTCCCTCAGCGCTGTCAAGCTTTGTCACTTCTCCCAGCTGTTGCTATCATCGCTTGAGGGAAAAAAGCATTGTCTCTTTCATTGCAAGACAATATCTATGGAAGCTCCCACTAGACCCTCCATATACATCAGTACTGTGCTCTTATGCATGTGCAAGAGTACTGCGATGACATGGGTTCCTGGCAGATGAAAGCGCAGGAGTTAACAAAAAATAAATAAAAGATGATGGCAGAGGTCAGCATCAGGTAAGTATATCCTCTGCCCCCTGTGGACACAGCACTCTAAATGACATCACCATTGGGGGTCTTTGCAAAAAAATTACAAAAACCAGAAAGTGACAGACCTGCTCTAAAAAGACAATATCAAATATATAATGTCTATATAACAAAATCGATAAGTGAATCTGACAAGTGTTTTAAATCCAAAGGCCCAAGTGAGGATATAAACATGAATTATTGTAAATGAATAAAAACAAACTCTTCTAGGAGTAAAAACAGGAAGTAAAGTTGGTTGCAGGTGTTAAACATATTTTCCATGTGTGCAAAACATGTTACCAAATTAAAACTTTATAAAGTGAGTCTCCATGCACAATAGCACTATTTAAAAGCAAATGTATTTGTTTTTTTAATAAAAGTCACAAAACACAATATTTTACAATATGCAGTTATTTAAGGCAGTCTGTGTTTTAAACCCCACACCACCATCCCTTTGAACTTCTTCCTCCATTTACAGTTTCAGTAGAAAAAAAACACATAAAAAAATAAAAACAAAAAACACAGATACAATATTACCTAAAATTATCTTCAATTTATTCAGATTTTTTTCTCTCCAGTTAGTAAAAGAAAGATGTGTCTCTTTTTATACATATATACAAATTCAGATATAAAAATAGACAACACATTGTAAAGAGGAAAAAAAGCATTGCATTGTTTAGAATCCCGCAAAATAAATTTATGTACACACACTACAGAAAGGCTGCATTACTGTGTAAAATTGGAGGGCGGGGGGCAATTTAAATAAGGGGAATTTCTGCTGTGTTACAGGGACCCTGTGGAGAACATTGGTTAACAGTAACCAAAGGTTTATGGGTGAACTGGCTTCTTCCAGAGAATGCGGTGTCCTTTGTCTGCAGCAGTGATGGCTAACCATAGCACTTGAAATGTCTTGGGAATACAGAACCCATTAAAAGCTGGTTCAGACTCCTTGGATCTGCAGTCGCCAAACACTTAAGTACCAAAGATAGCAATAGCTGTTCTGCACAGAAGAACAAAGAACTGACGAAGTAGCTAGTATAACTGAAGAGGTAGGAGACTGCATCTCGGACTATCTGCAAACCAATGGACACAGCTAACATATTCATTTCAAGGATTGATAAATCTTGCTTCTAGAAGTCTATGCAGCAGGTGGGGGTCGGAGAAGAGTATGTTTAAATTACAATGAATGACTAAACAGAAGAAATAAAAGTTAACATGCTGGTTTTCCAGCATACATACATATATATTTATATATCTCGGCATGTCCCATGTGTCAACACTGCTTTGCTCTCCGGTACTCCATTTCTGGTAGTGCAGACAATAGTGCAAGCAACAGGAAGAGATTGTGAAATTGAAAAGGGGGGAGGGGCACTGCAGCCCAAGGCGGATTATTGCATCAAAAGTTCTACACGTGTGTTTTGCAGATGCTCAAGAACGAGCATTAAGTGGGTAAAAAAAGACAAGTACATCTTGGACACTTGTGTCCAAAGAATTAGATATTTCATAACTCATCTTTGTCAACATAATATCCCTTATTTGTGGAGGGATTGACATAAACTCCATTCTAAAAAAGAGATATACAGCAGAGAATTCAACAGCTTCCACAGTCATTGTGCTGTAGAATTTTGGGAGAGTTACGAGTCTTACATGTCAGAGTCTCCATATCAAATAAAAAATACGTCCCATTTGAAC